TTAAAAATAGTAGCCAGGTATGGTGGCACGTGCCTGTAATTCCCGCTACTTGGAAGGCTGAGGCAGAAGAGGTCACCTGAGTCCAGCAGGTCAAGGCTGTCGTGGGGATGAGCGTGCCACTGCACTCCAGCCTGGGAGACAGTGAGACTCCAACTCATAAAACAAACAAAAAAACATAAGACTTGAGCTGCCCTCCTGAACTTCTGAATCTTGAAAGATTGAAGAGAAATAAGGTCACTAGGAGGATCCTAGGGACTGGCTTTATTGAGCAATACTCATATGGGGGTTTTCCAGTTTTGTAAACTTAATTTGCAGTGTTTCTTTTATTGGTAGAAATCACATTTATCTTCTCCTAAATTTGAGACTGTTGTCCTTTTTTTTTTTTTTTTGATTCGAAATCTCACTGTGTCACCCAGACTAGAGTGCAGTAACGTACTCACAGCCACCCCAGCATCAACCTGCTGGGCTCTGGTGATCCTTCCGCCTTAGCCTTCCAAGTAACTGGAATTACAGGCATGCGCCATCATGCCTGGCTAATTTTTCTTTTTATTGTAGAGATGAGGTCTCGCCAAGTTGTCCAGGCTGGTCTCGAACCTGTGGATTTAGGCAATCCACTCGCCTCGACCTCCCAAAGTGCTAGGATTACAGACTGAGCCACTGAGCCCGGCCACTCTTGTACTTTTTTTAAACAGCTTTGACATAGTGACCATGATTCTAGCACAGGGAATTTTGAAAATTCAAGCAGTCTCAGTATTATGTGAATGCAGCTCATAATTGAAGAAAACACATTTTAAACTGGGCTCGGTGGCTCAGCCTGTAATCCCGTGCCTTTGGGAGGCTGAGGTGAGTGGATTGCCTGAGCCGCGGGTTTGAGACCCGTCTGGGCAACTTGGCGAGACCTCATCTCTACAATAAATCAAAAATTAGCCGGGCGTGGTAGAGCACACCAGTAGTTCCTTCCAGCTACTTGGAAGGCTGAGGCGGAAGGATCGCCGGAGCCCAGCAGGTCGAGGCTGTGGTGACTGGGAGCGGCCACTGCACTCCAGTCTGGGCAACTGAGTGAGTGAGACTCCAACTCAAAAAAAAAAAAAAGAAAATATATTTTAGGAAATATGCTCCAAGTGACCTCTACTGTTCTTTTATAGTGAAAATGAAAAATTGAAATATATACCAGCATAGTATAGAACTTGTTAATGGCTGCTCATAACATTTTTCCTTTGTATCCTTTGGAGCAGAAGGGTATATGTGTTTATATATTGGACTCACATGTTGTAAACTTTGTAATGTTATTGGATCTTTATTATAAGATATGCCATCTTAAGGAAATTCCAACTGTGACACCCTTGTTCACGTAGGGAAGCTTTGCAAATGTGGCAAGTGACTGCTCCTCGGTCACCCATATCAAGTATCCTGCTCTGGATCTGTAACGAAGGATAGTGTGCTTGGCCTTGATACTTTCCTTATATGCGCCATGGACATATGATGGATAATTTAATTTTTATTTATTTTTTTAGAGATGAGTTAGAGTCACTGTGTTGCCCAGGTGACCCTGACCTTCTGGGTTCAAGTGATCCTCCCGCCTCAGCCTCCTGAGCAGGTTGGATGCAGTATGCCCAACTGATAACTTAATTTTGGTGTCTCATACTAGACCTTCTAATTTTGTACTCTAAGAGAAGATAACTGAAAGTCCTTGCAACAGGGAGAAAAGGAGAGGTGGTCAAAGGGTCAAAACTGGTCAGAAGGGTTAAAGCTTTCGTGACCAGCCTGGGCAACTAGATAAGACCTCGTCTCTACAATATATCAAAAAATTAGGCCAGGCGCATAGTTCCGTCTACTTTGTAATCCCAGCTCTTTGGGAGGCCGAAGTGAGGGCATAGCCTGAGCCCACGGGTTCGAGAACAGCCTGGGCAACTTGGTGAGACCTCATCTCTATAATAAATAAAAAAAAATAGGGCGTGTTAATGTGTGCCTGTAGTTCTGGCTACTTGGAAGGCTGAGGCGTAAGGGTCACCTGAGCCCAGCAAGTCGACTCGGTTGGCTGTGAGTGTGCCACTGCACTCCAGCCTGGGCAACAGAGTGAGACCTGGACTCAAAAAAAAAAGGTGGTCAAAAGAGGTGTGGGAGAGGCAAAAGAGTGTTACGTTTCAGAAGACAGGAGGCCATCAGTCCTGGCTTCATCTTGTATCCCCCTGACCTGCACTGTCTGTCTTCTGTGTTGTGCTTGATGAGGTTTCCTGAAAAGTGGAATTTCTCCTGAGGATAGTGGCTTAGAAATTTTGATGTTAGATGGGTTAAAGTATGTGTGTTGTTCTTTATGGAGATATACAGTCACAATGTATCACTTGCATCATTATAAGAGATTAATTGCTGTATCTTTTCTGTCTAAAAGCACCTGAGTATAATTTGTACATTAAACAGTGCCCCACAGAAATAATGCCAGGTGGTAAATTAATAGTAGGACCAAATTTTTTCTCTGGCTTCACTCTTGCCTTGAATATGTAGGTTTGTTTGTTTGTTTTTTCCCAAGGTGTATATTAACAATTTACTAAGGAAAAGTACTTTTATCTTTTGTGTACCAGATTGAACAGTTTATGGTTGTAACAATTTATGCCTGTAAGTTACAGAAACAAATAGTCACGGTTCTTACTGTTTCACTGTGAATTCCAAATGCAACAGATAACACACTAAGCACCTATCACTTGTGAGCAGTTCAGAGAGGAAAAGGACATAGTCTTGTCTGCCAGGAGAGCCAAGTGGAAGAAAGGAGATGGTTACCCACCTACCTTCTTTTTTTTTTTTTTTTTGAGTTGGAGTCTCACTCTGTCACCCAGACTGGAGTGCAGTGGCCACTCCCAGCCACCGCAGCCTCGACCTGCTGGGCTCTGGCGATCCTTCCCCCTCAGCCTTCCAAGTAGCTGGAACTACAGGTGCGTGCTACCACGCCCGGCTCATTTTGATTTATTATAAAATGAGGTCTCACCAAGTTGCCCAGGCGGGTCTCGAACCCGCGGGCTCGGGCAATCCACTCACCTCAGCCTCCCAAAGGCGCGGGATTGCAGGCTGAGCCACCGAGCCCGGCT